GTTCCCTAAACTTTTGCACTGCATGACTTCCACCATCCCTGTCATGAGAGACTAGGATTTTACAGTTCCATACAGGAGGACCATGACCTGCTTAATTGTGTAGGATAGGTCATCAACACTAACGGAGCTTCAATGGTTAAAATTCCAGGAGCACAGCCATGGCCCTGGGGCCCTTCAAAACTGGTAGCACTGGCCTAAGTCTCAGAGAAAGGGATTCACTGCTTGTGGGTAGATGGAGAGGTCAGAGTACAATGCACTGTCCTGCCAAATCAGATTTATGAAATACATTTATACTCTGAAAATAAAGACTTAAGAGAGAAAAAAACAAGTCAGAATTACAATAGAGTTAAAATTTTTTTAAATTTTTTTTTATTTATTTCTGAGAGAGAGAGAGAGAGAGACAGCGTGAGCAGGGGAGGGTCAGAGAGAGAGGGAGACACAGAATCTGAAACAGGCTCCAGGCTCTAAGCTGTCAGCACAGGGCCTGACACGGGGCTCGAACCCACAAACTGTGAGATCATGACCTGAGCTGAAGTCAGATGCTTAACCCACTGAGCCACCCAGGTGCTCCTGAAGTACAGTAGAATTTTAAAATCCTCTAATTTATATGAAATACTACCATATAACAAAACACTAGCAAAAAAATAAAAGCACTCTAGGAAGTGACAACAGATGTTTACACCTTTGTTCTAAGCTGTCAGATTCTCAACTCTTTGCAAGAATAATCTACATTACAACATTCTTTTCTTTCTATCTTGGCCTAAGGATATGAGTATGAGGACCCTTTGAAATATCAGATGAGAAGGAAAAGAAAAAAAAAACTGTGTTAGACCAAAAAATATGAGAATAATGTTTTATCAGAATAATGATAACACAGGTGTCCAAAAGAAGACAAAAACAGAATACAGGAAAGGGGAAAATCATGGGTGCCACAAATCAAGAGGCTTTCAGAAATGTGTAAATATGGTCATTTCCTTGTTGTGATTTCACTGCAGAAGCCCTCTGATCCAACTTGCTCACAAGCGTTCCAGTTAATCAAAATGTCAGTTAGACTATGGAATCAGAAAAATGTCCCTCATGATCATTTGTATTCTATAGAGGGAGCACAGAAAGGAGGGGGAAGGGAGAGCCCTGAGCCAGACCACGGGTTTAGATTCCCACTCTGTCAACTACCAGCTGGGGGACTTTGTGCCTGACAGACCCCATGGTAAAAATGGGTGCAATGATACTGCCCGTCTCATAGGATTATGATGGAGACTAAATAGGTGAGCACTATAAAAGCTGTAGAACAGTATCCTATATGTGGTAAACACTATGCGTTTGTTAAATAACACTGTTGGTAGGGCCAAGGTCACTTCTTTGCCTGCGGATCCTATTATTCGAGTCTGGTTTGTTTGCTTGTTTGTTTGTTTATTTATTTATTTTTAGGAGAGAGGGATATCAAACACATGCTTTATGCGTTGTCTATGCATCTATCTTTGTTTTGTGTTTTCTTAACAGCGTAACAAGAACTTAAAATCATTTGGGAAGCAATGTGCATACAGAATGCCTCTACATTTAATACAATTCTCCAGCTCACATAATTTTTTTAGTTAGGTACCTATATTTCATTTGATCATAAATGTTTATTTAGTGACTTGCCTTTATACGCGGTTTTGAAGCACTCAACTTTATCTTATATACACAATTCTTACTATATCCTATTTCATCAGTATATAGTAGTTTAAAAATTACAGAATTACCATTTAAGTACTACTTGCAAAAACATACTGAGTCACAAAGATGGCTCATTTATGGCGAGAATTCACCTCACCTCATAAAAGAAGTAAATACACTTAGTAAAGAGTTCTCTAATAGTTGCCAATGTTTGGTAATTTGAATGTTGTTTAACATGATTTTACAAAAGGAAATGGTGAACATTGGTTAATCTGGCTAATGGGTTCAAATAAGGTTAGAGACTCCAGTTCCATTAAGAACTTTGGAATTTTATTTGCTTTGCTGGCCTCTTAAGTCTTTAGAATTTAGCTCAACTTGCTTATTTTAATAGAAGGCCTTGCTACTGTGATCTGTTACTACCCCTAGTCCCAGAAATACCATTCTGGAAATGGACTCCCCACAGAAGATTACTGCTATTCTTAAGATTTTAACTTTCAGGCTAGTTTTTTTTTTCCTCGGTATGGACCTGGTTCCCTTTGTAAATTTCCAAAAATTTGTCAGCTGGTCCATAGAACTATCCTTTTTGTTTCTCCTATACACAAAAAAATTGCTATATAATATCCATGTAACCTCTTATTTTCTATTTTTAAGGGACAAAGAATTGACTGGTTCTTATGAACGATTTTTCTTTTCTACTTTTTACAAACTATCTCCTAAAATCATAATGGGTTCAACAATCTTTCTGTATTTCTCTTCAAGTGGGCACTTTACATTGTAGATGATCATTAGGCTGTATTCAGCAGATAGCAACTAACGCTGGTTTCAAAGATATACAGAAAACTACTTAGAAATCTACTGTAGTGAGTCTCCAGTCTATGGGCAGAAGATGTAAGGTCAATAATACCTCGAACCAGGGGCACTGGTGGATTTGCCACACCCCAAAGCCACACACTCCAACAGATTAGGCTGGATGGGCATGACTGCACCATTCCAAAGCATCCACATAAGACAGCAAAAGTTGAGGAGAAGTGAGGTCATAAACTTCCCTTAGGTGTACGCAAAATAACTCCCACCTTACAGAATAAGTTGGTGTCATATATTCATTATTCTGTTCAACAAATAATTATAGAGCTTCTATAGGTGCCAAGCAAGCACAGCCTTCTTTTACTTCAGCCAGAGCTCCACAGTATGATTTTGTGACACCAGAAAATGAAAAATACAAGTCACATAATTAACAGACCCCCTGAGAAGGCAGCAACTCAGTCTATGTGTGATAGATGGTGGAGCGCAGGCATCCAACTTCCTACCATTCTTCTTTACAGAACCATTAATGGCCCATCTTTTAGAAATGTTATTCAAATTATAATGGCTCCCGAAAGTGAAGATTATTTGGGGAGGAATATAAAGTGGTTGGCTGAAAATACCCAGTGAATAAACACTGAGTTCTATTGTTAGCATACACATCATTTCCTGCCATTTGGATATGGATTTCAGAAATTTGTGACAACCAATGAAAAAGTTTAAATATCCATGGCACATGTGTTTACTATGGAAATAAGCCACCATGATTCATAAACAGAGATGATAGATCCTTAAACATTGCCCCAAAAAAGCCTGAAGTTAAACCAGGCAAAAGAGAAAACTTCATGTACATGCAACAGCTGTTAAAAGTAGTTATACTATTGGATCTTTATATGAGAGAGCAAAAGAAATACAACTTTTTACAGATGCAAGGTTCTCCATGATAAACATTTGTTGTGGTTGAAACCAGGAAACAGAAGAGATAGACCAATTTTTTTCTGCATAATTTTTGAATCATAATGTATGAATGATGCTTTAACAGATAAAGCAGAGAGGAAATTATTTAGGAGGGGAGATCTATTGTGCAATTCAGAGACCCGTTTTAATTTGGGGGGGAAATTATATTTTGATGTTTGCTTTTACCAAACATCTTCCTTTCTCTGAAATGACCTGCAATTTCTCATTATTTCTTGGAGGAGCCAATGAAAGATGTTTCTGCCAAAGTTCAGAGGATAAATTGGCAACAGTGTCCCAGCCATCTGGAAAAGTGTGGTCCTGTAGAACTTCCTATAGTGATGAAAATGTCCTACATATGCACCTTCCAAAATGGTAGCCACTGTTCATATGTGCCTTTTCAACACCCCAAATGTGACTAGTTTGACATCGGAACTTAATTTTTTTTAATGTTTTATTTACTTCTAGGAGAGAGAGAGAGAAAGTGTGAGCAGGGGAGGGTCATAGAGAGAGGGAGTCACAGACTCTGAAACAAGCTCCAGGCTGAGCTGGCAGTCAGCACAGAGCCCGACGCGGGGCTTGAACCCACGAACCGCGAGATCATGACGTAAGCGAAAGTCGGACGCTTAACCGACTAAGCCACCCAGGCACCCCGGAACTTAATTTTAGTTTAGTTTTCAATTTCAGTGGCACTACATGGCTAGTGGTTATAGTGCTGGACAGTGGAGTCTGGAGAATACCTCTGTCCTTTCCCTTTCAGCCAATTAGACCAGACAGCTGGGGATTCTTTTTTGTACACTGTCCCCTGTGAAGCCTAACCCTTTGCTAGCTTAGCCTCAGAATGGCTCTAAGCAAGTCTCTAGGGAGCTTGTCTGAGCAAATACACAAATTAATAGGATTTGAAAAAAACCCAGGAAACCGCAAAGATAAGCCTTACAGCCCCCCCTTTGCCAATTCATGTGCCTCCGTATGAACCAGATACAGTCTCTGGTGTGTTGTCAGGGATGGCTTCAAAATGATTCAGATGGCTTGACTTTCCATGACTTTGCATGTTATGAAGGAAGTAAAGAAGGGGTTCAGGGGGAGCATTTAGACAAAGGGAACCTGAAAAACACTGAGGCAGAATACAGGAGGAATTGTGTGTGAGCAGGAACTCTGCACACAGAGACATATGAAAGAAAAACAAACCCCAGCAGAATTTTTGATTACAGAGGGAATGAAATAAAGAAATGTACTTTGGCATTGCATAAAACTCTTCCTTCCTTATCACGGACCACAAGATTACTAACACTAGTCCCCAAAGTAATCCATTATTTCCTGACTCCATTCTACAGTTTACTAGAGGACACCTTCTGATGTCCCTTTTACCTGTTGGTTATTTGTTGATGTATTTCTTTATCTAAACACAGCTTTAAAAAGTCAGAAATTTAAGAGGCATTCCATTTTAATGACATCTCTTGAGAAGGGAAAGAATCAGCATTCTGATGCACTATGCCTTGCCTATGGAGATCCTGGAAACTTTTGAACTAAAGTAACTTCTTGTCAATAGCATTTCAGTAGCAAAGATTGTTTTCCACTGAAGCACATACCTGGAGGAGATCAGAAGTTGGTCTGATTCGCTGTTGGAACAGGATGCTTAATGTTCGATTCTGTTGTTCTAAATCAAACACTCTTGTTTTCAACTTTACACATTCTTCCCTTAGATCCTACAGCAAACACAGTGAGAGAAAAAAAAAAAGTCTGTAAGTGAAAGACACCTTTGCATATTATAACCATATTTTATCTGATATTTCAGACACATTAGTACAAAAATAGTATTTTTATTCTTCAGAGCCCCCAGGAATAAATCACACACAATGCTTTCTTCCACACAGCCCATTGTCTGATAGAATTATTATGTGCAGGGAAGACCAATTTGAAAAAAAAAAAAAATTAGCTTGAAATCAGAAGTGCATTAATCTAGCATGCTATTTTTGAAGATGGTAAATGTTAGCGATATGAAGCCAATTTAAGTTTCCACCTATATATTTTGCCTTTTCACTGTCTTCATAAAAGCAATCATAAAGCACAAAGACAATAACGTTTTTGCAGTGAATAGAGATTTGATGAACTAAGGAAACTATCCCTTTTGATAGAGCCTTCTGCTGTCATTTGTGGGAACAAGTTGGAATTCTCAGTGCTGAGGCTAATAGAGCCAGTGATGCATTTAGTGAGAGAGATGCAACTCTGAAGTGAAGGCTTTAAAAGGCCACTTGAAACCTATGCTCTGAACTAGTGGCTTTCCATGTATTTGGAGGGGTTCATCTCGATGCTGGGGAGGAAGTTGAATGACCGTACGTGGGCATCCTTCTGGAGCAGCACTTTCCTTTTTTTTATTTTTATTTTTATTTCTAAGAGAGAGAGAGAGAACGAGAGAGAGAGAGAGAGAGAGAGAGAGAGAGAGAGTGTGAACAGGGGAGGGTCAGAGAGAGAGAGGGAGTCACAGACTGAAAGAGGCTCCAGGCTCTGAGCTGGCTGTCAGCACAGAGCCCGACGCGGGGCTGGAACCCACGAACCGCGAGATCATGACCTAAGCGAAAGTCGGACGCTTAACCGACTAAGCCACCCAGGTGCCCCAAGGAGCAGCACTTTCGAATAGTGCAAAGACCACCCAGACTCTGTCCCCAGCTTTCACGAGGGAGGAGAAGGCACAGGAGCTTTAGGATTCTCTGTTATCTACTGACGAGCTGGCTTGCAAACCAGTTTGTGATAATAATGCTGGCAGTACTTAAATGTCCACACCCTCTTTGATGGGGTTTGAGAAAGACCAAGTTGAATAATGTCCCAATTCAGAGTTCTTCAAAAGCTGACCCTTTGCTACAGGTTAAACGTGGTCTTTCTTTATTTCCTGATTTATTCTTTTGAAGGCTTCTGCTCTTGTCATATGAAGAACAGCCATCTGCGTTTTTGTTCTTGAACGCTATTACGCACCCCTACTGCCCCCTGCCCCCACCTGCCATTAGGTTCCCTTCTCATCCACCTCTTCTGTCCAGTCCAAGTTTGTCCATTTTGACTGATGTCCATTTCAAAATCTGTACCCTCTCTGACATATTTTTAAATAGTTTATTTATTTTGAGAGAGAGAGAGAGAAATATACACATAGGGGAAGAGGGTCAGAGAAAGAGAGAGAGAGAGAGAGAGAGAGAGAGAGAGAGAGAGAGAGAGAGAGAGAATTCCAAGCAGACTCTACTCTGTCAGGATAGAGACTGATGTGGGGCTCGAACGCATGAACCATGTGACCCTGACCTGAGCCAAAGCCAGACGCTCAACCAACTGAGCCACCCGGGCTCCCCTCCTCTCTTTTATCTGGCATCCCCCAAAGACCATTCCATTTTCTGAACTCCAGTAAGCTCTCAGTGCCTTTCACAGGACATTTAGTACACACTACTTTGCACTGGTTTTATCTTTCATATTCTAGACTTATCTTGTCAATGAGATGGCACATCCCTCGAAGGCAGGAGTAAGAAGATAGACCAATGAACAACAGCACGAGTGGATTGTCCTTACACTCTTACTCCATCACCTGGCAAAGCACCACAGACAGTATGACCTTAATAAACTGCGTGATTATTTTGGTAAATGGGATGATGATGATGCCAAATTCTCTTCTCTGGTGTCAGTGTGACTGAGGCTTTAAGTTTCTCAGCACTTCTAGTTTGTGTTTCTATATACTCTGACGTGGGACAGCTACGGCCTTGCTCAAGGCTCTGCAAGGAAGAGAGAGCACCAGGCAACAGCCGTCATCCCCAGGCCCTAAGCCAGAGTCATGCAGGTGAGTGCGCCTGCCCATTAACCTGTGTCAACCTAAGTGTGTGAAGCCAGACAGTTCTAGCTTCTGAAGCTTTACCAGAGCCCCATTATATCCAGTTTTATTTATTCTATTTACAGAGGGCAGGGAAATAGACCAACGTGTGGCTCACTGCACAGCTTATACTCTCCTCATCTTTTTAGTTAAATGGGTGGAGTTTATGCAGAGGATGGTTCCAACTGATTGCTACCTACAAATGCAGGGCACAGAAGAAGGAAGGTCATGTTCAGAATGAGGCACCCGGGTCCAAGGTCTAGGAGGGCAGCAGCTGTTCAAGGCAGGGGCAGAAATGTGTGTGTGTGCAGGGGGCCTGGGTGGCTCAGTCGGTTAAGCATCTGACTTCGGCTCAGGTGATGATTTCATGGTTCGTGATTTCCAGCCCTGGGCTCTGTGCTTACAGCTCAGAGCCTGGAGCCTGCTTTGGATTCTGTGTCTCCTGCTCTCTCTACCCCTCCCCTGTTCATAATCTGTCTCTCTCTCAAAAATAAATAAGTATTAAAAAAAGAAGCATGTGTGTGCACTTGAGCAATATGCATTCGGCAGAGGCTACTTGGGGGGCCTAGGCACCACTCACATTAAAAGGCTAAACTTGTTTCCTTTATTTAGAATTCAACCTCTGTCTATGTCTCACTTATTCTACTTTTTGTTCTTAACATGCCTATAACTCTCCCTGCCCCCAAACACTAATTGTTTTCAGTACTGCTAATTAAGTAATTAATAAAACTTGACTGTGAGGTAAATAAATATTAATACTACCTATTGGGTGGGAAAACTTAATCATTCGCATTTGCAGGTGACGAAATGGAAGCAGAAACATACAAGTGAGGATTTGCAAGGAGAAAGGAGACCAGGAAGGAAAAGCATCGATGATTTTTTGCCGCAGTACAGAGATACCTTGAAAAAGTTCTTCAGATGGGTTAAAAAAAAAAAAAAGGGAAAGTAAATAAAAAGGAGGAATACACACACACACACACACACACACACACACTTACTGTTACTTAAGATGGTAAAAGTTCATTTAGCAGGGACACGGTTTATTGACCTGGAGAACTATTCACTGCTCTTGGCCATCTAGATCAGCACGTGGCAGGGGAGAAAACAGAAGCCTTGAGGAAGGAGACTGTGGTCCTATGATCATTGACAAACAGAACTGAGCTGCTCTGAGAATCTGTAGACATGAAAGAATCATTGCCTGTATTGTTCTAGTATTCTTATTCTCTTTAGTCAAGTCATGGATGGTAAGTGACGTCAGACAGTTATCATCCCAAGAAACTAGATTCAAAGCCATAGATGTGTGCCCACGTGCACACACATAAGCACAACCACATTGGGCAGATGGAAAGAGTGAGAGAGAAAAACAGTAATTTCTCTGACCCCTACAGTGAGGCCTAGGCAGAAGGTGACGGCCAGCTGTCTGCATCCTCTGTGCTCACAACAGGAATCCACTGTCACAAAGGAGCACATGACATGTACAGGCTGGCTACAACAACCATTATTCTGACCCTGACAGTCATAGAGGTGAGACCCACACTATCCTTCTGGTAAGGTGTTAGAAGCAAATGAACTCAGGGCATCTGGGTGGCTCAGTTAGTTAAATGACTGACTTTGGCTCAGGTCATGCTCTCACAGTTTGTGGGTTTGAGCCCCGTGTCAGGCTCTGTGCTGACGGCTCAAAGCCTGGAGCCTGCTAGGGATTCTCTCTCTCTCTCTCTCTCTCTCTCTGCCCCTCCCCCACTCATGTTCTGTCTTTCCCTGTCTCTCAGAAATAAATAAACGTCAAATAAAGAAATAAATAAATAAAAGAAACAAATGAAATCTCCTCTGCTTAGATGCTATCACTGGCTCAGGGCAGAAGCTGGCCCACCTGTTCTCTCTCACATTCTTCGTTTTTTTTTTTTTTTCCTAGTATGTCCCAGGCCTCAAGAGGAGGACCCCACTGAAAATATAGGGCTATGTCTTCTGCCATAAAAAGAGATCTGATATAAAATTTTATCTGGGGGAAAATAATGCCAACAGTTTGACTATATTTAACCTCACATGAGAAAGTACAGGGGTCTTTGGGTCATGAAAAGACTCAGACCTATTTTCCTTGCAATCTGCTTGTCACTATCGATTGGAAACAGAGTAAGACAGAAAAGCTGAATAGGAGGGAGAATATACGGAGCAACATAATACACTGGTCTAAAGGACCCTGTGTGTTTTAATGATCTCAAACCGTAACTACCCTGGAGCATCCATAAACTGTAATCCTGGTGCCTTTCAGCTGCATTTGGAGCTAAAGAAGATTCCGGATCTACTGCTATGTAGTATCTATGAGTATAGCTGCATTAATGCATTTAGAGTTAAACTATTACCTGTTGAAGTCAATTTAATAACACGTTGATTACTTAGAAGCAGGACATAAAATGACATCACTGGAGTATTGTTGAAAACTACTTATATCCCATTTTATCATGTAAAATGGTATTATAGTGGTAAAATGGCTTAAGATGCAATGCATATCATGGGAATAAACATCAGATTGGGAGTTAGGGGTCTGGACTCTGGTTCTCATTAGCCACATGACCTTGAGGATGTAACTTACTCTGGTTTTGTCTTAGTTTTTTTACCTGTAAACTGAGCTTCTGCCCCAAATAGGGCTTTCAAGAGAATGCAGTCTCTGCTGCTTCATGAGATGGCTTTTCAAGTGCCATCTACTTCCTTCCCTGAAGCTTAATGGCCACCATACCCCCCTGCTCCTCCTTGTAACAGTCCTTCTCAGTGGCTGTCACTAATATATCCCTATCTTTCCCAAAGATGCTAAGACTTCTGTAAAAAGAAAAGCCATTTCTTTGACTAACCAAGGGCCTCAACATCAAATACCTAAAAGGCACAGCAGACAGCAGAGATGTGTGCCTGAATCAGGCCAGCCATAATGAACAGGGAGTCGTTAGTCCTCTGGCAAACTGATTACCACAAGCCTTCATCCCAAAGGCATTCAGATTAGAACATTATTAATCTGTGTGATGGCTAAAGGGTTCAAGTAATCATTGTAAATTAAAACCATTACTGAAGCTAGTTGACAATATCAGTATTAAATGCTCGCTAAGGTGCCTGGCAAGTGTGAGTTTCTAGGATCCTCCAACTCCAGATTCACAGAATCGGTTTTGACTCTGCATATGTCAGATCCTGAATGGTGTTCTTGTTAGCCCGAACTGGCATGTTCCCAGAAGTCTTCAGAAATCCAGTGGTTCCCTTGCCTTTTTGTGCTATTTCCTGCGATCTCAACTAATAATTGGATTTCAGTCCATCTGTTGATTTCCACAGCCTCGTCTCTGCTTGCTGAGCTACAGTGGGGGAAAACAGTAAGTGATCCATTGGAATCTTGGGGGCTGAGTGAGGCCAAAGGAAGGGGATGGATTTGGAGTGCAATGACCTTAGGCTGAACATACGGGCTTTGCCACTTCTTACAATCAGAGCTACAGGAACACTATTTCCTTAGTCCTATCTTAACAGGGCTGCAGTGAGAACAAAATGACTTAGTGCATTTAAAGTGCTAGACATGGGGTATGACTCCTTGTAAGTGCACAGTAAATATGAACAGTTCCTCTTTAGGAGACTGGATCCTACACCCACCACGACCAGCCAGGTGGACACAGGTGGCCCGACTGCCCCTCCATGAGGGAAATATGTAAAAGTTTGGAGTTCTTTCAGATCACAAGCTACAACACCGTGTTCTGCATCGACCCAGCGGCTACACTGCTGGTCTCTACCACACAGAGCCTGAACACCATGGAGGGAAAGATAAAAACACCCTATAAATATTTGGTTATTCTAAAGAACATGCAGACAAAGGTAAAGTTGATATGCTAGAAAATGGCTACAAGAAGAAAGATTTTCTTCCAAGTTTGGCGATAATGGCAAGAACATAACAAAACAAAAAAACCCTACAACAGTAAAGAACCGAGGACAGTTACGCTTTCAGGGAGTATAATTCACTTAATGAAGATAAAACATATTTCAGACAAAAATATGACTTGAGCCTGAATTACTGATTGTGCTTGCACTTGTAGCCTTGGACCTATGAGTTGGAGTCATAAAAGGAAGTGAGCTGGGTTTAATATCGTCACTTTAGCTTTATTGATCTAAAGAATGGACAATCTGCTGCTTAAGGGAATCCACAGGTTTCTGTGATAAATTGAATTACTTGACTAGAACAGTAGAAAGTGGCAAGTTCGTGGAAATAAATATTTTTTTTTATCAGTATTGGGAAAAAGAAGTACATTCTGTTATTTCAAGATGCTTATCTGGGCCAATTCATGATATGCCAGAAAAATGCTTTTTTGGTCGTTCGTGGTAGATTTGGTCTATGTCATAACAAACAGTGTATTCTAAAACCGCGTGGTTATGACTATAAGTTCACCTCAAAAATGTTTCTTTGAGACTTGGATAAATCACTCAAGGTTTTGGTCACATGCCCCTTTAGAATCCTTTTTTTTTTTTCATCTGCATGTGGAGTACCTTTTATTTCCTATGTTGTGCTCTTAATTAAAAAGAAATTTGAGTCCTTTTGTAGCAATTTTATGGTCCCTATAAAAACCAGGAGGCACACGGTTCTGCAGAACATGATTCTTTTGGAATCTTCGAAACTCCTGGCGTCTCTTCTCGCCTCAGAGTGTCCCTGAGGTATGCTATCTCACAAAGTGCCATGTCTTTCTGTGTCTTATTGCTTAACTGTACCAAGGCAGATTTATCTGTTTACTAGTTATTACTTGGATTTGTGTCGCTATTTTTTGTGGCTGACCTGAAGGGTCCCATTTTCCTTTATATTGTATCTGACGGCTTCCTTTTCTCTTTCCTGAGGCACCGTTAAAAAAGATGGACACGGGAAGTTTTCAACAGTTACACACAGAGCTGCCAACAGTGCTTCCTTAACTGGTAGGTTTGTGACTAAATGAGCATAGAGTTTCCAATAGGAATAAAGCAAATGAGAAATTAAAGCCTTTGAAAAAGAAAAAAAAAATCAAATACATTGTGGCAGAAATTGTGAGACGCCCTTCAACATCTGTTTCTCCCATTCTCCTATAATACCATGACAGTCAATTTTCAGCTGGGCACATACCCAGAAAAAGACTTCATTGTCAGCTTCCTTAGGTGTGGCTGTGTGAGTAAGGTCTGCTCAAGGAGATGTAAATAGGGAGGTAAGAAAGCTTTTGGAAGTCTCTCTTAAAAGGCAGCTAGTGTGTGGGCCCTTCACCTTCTTCATTTTCTTCAGCTTTTCCTCCTTCCTGATAGCTGGAATGGGGATGTGATGATTGGAGCTAAGCAGCCTGTTTGGACTGTGAGGTAACCTTGGGAATGGAGGCCATATCTGATAGAATAACAAGATAGAAACCAGAGTCACCAGAGCCCCAAGGGACTTTATGGAGCAGGGTCACTATATCACCCCTATACTGCCTACTGATAGATTTAGATATGAGAAAGAAATAATAGTTTAGGTTGTTTAAGTTACTACTATTTTGGAGCTCTGTTACTCACACTGGAACGTAATTCAACCTAATAAGTCTATTTAGCCACTCAGACTGGCTTGAGGTGGTATCTCAGTGTGGTTTTGATTTGTATTTCCCTGATGAGGAGGGATGCTGAGCATCGGCCATGTGTAGCAACATGGATGGACCTTGAGGGTGTTATGCTGAGCGAAATAAGTCAGGCAGAGAAGGACAAATATCATATGTTTGCACGTATAGGAGGATTAGGAGGAACTTGACGGAGGACCAAGGGGGGGAAGAAGGGGGGAGATGGTGGGGGAAAGGGAGAGAGGCAAACCATGAGAGACTCTTGAATGCTGACAAAAACTGAGGACTGATGGATGTGGGGGGGTGGGGGGGATGGGCATGGAGGAGGGCACTTTGGGGATGAGCACTGAGTGTTATGTGGAAACTAATTTGACGATAAACTATTTGTAAAAAAAAAAAAAAAAAGAGTATATTTAAATTTCTCCATTTATGTGATGTTAATGTAAAATCTGAACAGTTAAAATTATTTGAAACAGAAAGCCATGATATTTTAACAGAAGTAGTTGAGAAGAAAATTTAGCAAAAAGTATTATCACAATGCCTCCACAGTATAAATTAAAAATGATATTTATTTACATATCTCCATGAGAAGTGGTCAAGCCCTAATAAAATTATTTTTAATTAAAAAAAATCAAAATGTCACAAATTATTTTGCTTCCATTAGCCATGTATTCCAGATTATGGAACATGATCTAAGATTTGCTTTTACAGAGGAAGTCTCCAGACTTCACAGAGAGGTAATTCAGAATACACAAAATCTAAAAGAACTAGAATTTAGCTTCTGAGAAACATTATGGAAAAAGATGGAAACATTTCAATAAAATGGACCAAAACAGCCAAATTGGGGCAATAACCTGCATCTGCCCATTCTGGCTCAAACACATGTCTTTAATACTATCTGAAACCAGAAAAGGGACATGGCAAAGGAGAAGGCATTTGAATCTCATGCTCAGAGATTATCACTTGTTTTAATCCCTCGACTTTATTGAGGAATAATGGACAAATATAATTGTATATATTAAAAGTGTAAAATGTGATGATTTGAGATACCTTACAGGGTAGAATAATTACCCAGATCAAAATAATTAACACATCCACACCTCACAGTCATTCCTTTGTTCGGTTTGATGCTTAAGATCTACTGTCAGCAACTTTCAAGTATACAATACTGCCATTTTTTTACATTTACTGTGACCTGATTCCTATAGGAACTCCTCTATGTGCTGCCTTTCAAAGAATGGCCACTGCAGGGGGTGCCTGAGTGGATCAGTCGGTTGAGCGTCTGACGTCGGCTCAGGTCATGATCTCACGGTCCGTGGGTTCCAGCCCCGCATCGGGCTCTGTGCTGACAGCTAGCTCAAGCCTGGAGCCTGCTTTGGATTCCGCGTCTCCCTCTCTCTCTGACCCTCCCCTGCTCACGCTGTCTCTATCTATCTCTCAGAAATAAATAAAATTTAAAAAAATAATAAAAAAAAAAAAGAATGGCCACTGCAGTTCTGGGAGGTGGGAATTGTTATCCCCACTTCACAGAAGAGGAACTAAGACCCAGAAAAATTAAATAACTTCCCTAACCTCTAAGATCTTTTACCTGAATTTTAGGCTTCTCTTAATGCTGTCCGTAAAGGCTACTCATTTTATAGGAATTAGAGGAATCCACCAATATATTTAATGTCTGTATTTACTAATAGGTGCATGGGAATCTTTCAGCTTCTATTACTTTACCAACAGTTTGAATTTTGTGATTCAATTGGTCACTGACGTAACTTTGTATGCCCATCTAAAACACACACAATTTTAACCTAAGTGAATAAATAGAAAAGTATTGAGTCTATCAATCATAATTTCCTAGTTTGACAATATGAGTTCCAACCTATTCACATAAGTACCTTGAAAATAATAAGTCAGAAAGTGACCTACCTTTTGAGTGAGAAGAGCTTGAACAACTTGATTGGCTACCTTCAAAAAATAAAGAAAGAGTTGCCGTTTACAATTATGAGACTTTATAAGCATAGACTTTAATTTACCAATACATTTCCCACAGCTTACTCTACCTAATTAGCTCCTCATTTGCCTCTTTCCTCGCCACGTAGATAACCTGATTATTTTCATAATAAGCCTATCCTTCTAGGTAATATTTTGCTTTCTTCCAAAGGTGACCTTGTTGCTAATTAAGATGGTTAGGTTGGAAAGATCATTCATGCCTTGACTTCCACATTTCCATATTTGGAAAAAAAATAATATCCTTTCATAGGTAAAGTACTGGAAGAAGGCTAAAAAATGATACAGTGTAAAACACAATCCTAATTATCTGTACACAATTTCTACACTTTGCTGATTTACAATGTCCTTTGCCTCTCCTTCCTCTACTTGTGCTGTGTTACTATTTTACCGCTTAAAACGACTTAAAGTAGAGCTAGGTTCGAATGGTGAAGGATAAGAGGAACTCATTATTTTCTATACGTTCTTTTTTACATCCCCCATGTCTTCATTTGTGCCATCCTCCTGTCATTGCTACCGGTAGCAGAGTCTGGTAGTTGTTTACTCTCCCATGTATTTTTCCCCTTTCTACTAAGGGGAAGTAGAGAAGTACTCTAAGTAACAAACTCTGAGTTTTTGGCTGGGTACTTTAAAATACATACCCTATACTTCCTTCTAAGTTTCCCTTTGGGCCAAGCTTCTGACTGATGAGTTATAACTAGACTTTCCTTGGGCTTATAGAAAGTCTCTAAGAAGAAGGGAGCTCACCCTTCTTCTTCCTTTTCCTGTCTGGGATACAAAAGTGGGGGCTGGAACCTCAGCAGCCACCTTGACAGTGAAAGTCACATATTGAGAAAATAGGAGCAGCCTGGCCCTGATGATGCAGGGAGTTGTACTATCTCTGTACTTCTAGGTGAGAGAAGAAAAATATCCACTTTTTTTTGTTTCCTACAAAATACAACCAAATAGAGTTCTTACTAATATATTAACATAATCCTAGTTTTCTTCAGGTATCAGGCAGGTTAGGGCAGTAGGAGAAGCTCTTCTCAGTAGAAGCCCCTCTCAGTCAAAGGAGGTGAATCTTGATTAATCTAAACCAAACCCAGCATTTCCATTCAGTGAATGGTTTAGGAGTGGGTATATGTACCATTCTAGCCAAGGGCCTCACATAAAACTAGTAACATGTTGCTGGTATTTTGAAGACCTGGCATTTTAATAGAAATTCATCATTTTTCTGTGCATTTGTGCTAAGATTTCTTTTTCACTCGCAGATGTCAAAAACACTGTACAGGAAGCCACTCGCTAAACTTTACCATAACCTTGAAGCTATGTACCCATATAGCTACTATTGAGAAAATTAAGGTGGGTAGGTGAATTACACAGTGTTTTTCAGCAGGTACATGAACTGTCTACACTTAATGTGACCATTGAAACTTACAGCGTTAAAGACCAATATTTAAATATCTGAGGCATCGGGTACTTCCCATTCATTTCTTCCTTCATTTATTTAGCATAAATATGTAGAGTATTTACAAAGCTAGATGACTGGGGTGTGTTCCTTGGTTTCAAAGAGAATATAACTGGTAGGAAGTTGGCATGAACATAATTATAACAGTGTCATAAGCATGTAATCATCTTGGTAATTCTCACATTCAGCCAAAGACTGACAGAGACGCTTTCATCTCCTCTTGATAACCAATTTATTTTTGGTGATATAAACTATGTGTACTTGTTTCCCTGTCTTATATAGTGGAGCAGATGAGGGTAAGAATGTTTTCATGGAGCTTAATTATTTCTTAACTTGATATTGACAAAGTCGTGCATCCTTAATGACAGATGGCTACCAGTAAGTCTCATAGAAAATAGAAATGCAGGCTGTCATCAACTGTGGTTAGGAGGCATTCAGAGCACAAGCAGTAAATGATTAAAATAAGACTACCTATAATTGATTAGTTGAACTATAGGCAGAAGAGGGTTTTTTTTTTCCCCTATCAGAATCCTTGCCAAATTTACATTGTTGATATTAAGCAAAGAGAGAGACCTTTCATTAAAACTAACTATAGTTTTTAAATAAAAGCATTATTGATTGATTTTTTTGAAGCCCATCCCCAGTTAAAAAAACATATGTAAGGAATCTCACAGTTTAATCAAATTAAACCATATTTTCCTTAACGGGTACTTCTTCTTTTTTCCTTTATCATTTAATTTATACATGATCATAACAGTGATAAATGAATAGCCTTACAAATTGACCAATAGTGTCATCTTGAAAATCTTTCAGTTTTTAAACATTTATTCCAATTTGTAAGTCACTGAGAATTTAAAGTCAAACTGTAGGTCATCCATTTTATTCTTGGAAAATTAAAAAAAAAAAAAACCCACAACAACAGAAGAACTCAACTACTCATGCAGCTTGAAACAGGAACAAGGCACCCAAATTAATTCATACCACAAATAATTTAATGCTTTTGGGTCTTATACTTTGGATTTGATTTATATTCTCATAAAACTTCTTAATATCAATATTTTTCTTTTCTTTCTCCAAACTGGTCCCTCACTTAAACCAGGCTGTGGAACGGTGGTCACATAAAACCGCTCTCCCCATGATTTAACAGGAGACATAAATGAATACCCTAACTGTAACAGCCCACAGGAGGAAATACACTCTATCTTTGCAATGTGAGTATGTTGCCTTATAGGCTTCTAGGCTCCATCTCTGATACAGCTCCTTCTGGCAGGTACTTTGGACAATTGCTCTACCTAATAATTGAACAAAGATACACGAATACATTATTTCTTTACGTACCGACATGGGGTTATCTTACCCAGAAGGACTCGCAGGTCCTCTGCAGAAGAGCAGGCCGGTTTGCACAAACGCTTTCCCAGATACTGTCTATAAAGACGGTTTCCTGGGTTTCATTATCACTTTTAACAGCCAGCTTCCCTGAAGCATCAATAGAACAGCTGCTTGGAGCTTGTGCCTGCAACCTCTAATAGGTTCACAAGATGACCCCTGGAATGGGCCCCTGCCCTCATCATAGAATTATGCCCTTAGCACTTGGGTTGCAAATAATCACACACCTGCAAGCCCAGCTAATAAGAACAAATAACTTCCAGTGTCACCTGACATATTTTCTCTCCAAAGAAAGGAAAAATAGCAGCTGGGCTGGGCCAAGGGGACTTGAGACATACTGAGCAGAGCTGACAGTCTTTAAGCCTCTGGCTTGTTTTACAACCTGCCTTCGGCTCTCTGTGGAGACCGCCCCGCTTTGCTTTCTGGAGGAACTGGGGTGTAGGGGAGCCCGAGATGCCAAGGACAGGGCCCAGGTACCTCTCCTTTACCTCGGTAAGAATTCTCTCAGACAAGCCAGCTCCTCTGATACCTGGCTCGTCTCCCACCCACAGGAGTCTTCATTCTTCTTCTCCAGCAGGCTTCTAAGGGGCACGCGTCATCCCCACGCCCACCCCCTGCCACGGCCGCACTCCCCAGGAAGCAGGTGGGCGGAGGGAGGAGAAGTCAGGGCTGTGGTGTTGTCCTTTCTTGCTTTCAAAACAGTCCCTGGGGCTGGATGCGAAGCCACACCTGGGCATAAGCCACACTTATTCCAAGAGGGAGCCAATCCTCACCGCATCCAGAGGACAGCCAGGGCTGGGTCGAGGGTGGTAGAGTGAGCAACTCTGAGGGCACCAAGCTCTGACAGGGCTCCTCCTGCCTCACAGTCCTGCTTCTGTCCTTGTATGTACTATTTTATCATGCAAAACAAGTGTCATCTCAGCACCCTCCTTTAAAAACCTCATTGAGAGAGGACAAGTTTTGGAAATTGTGCTTTGGAGAAGTTTTCAATGCTTCTGAGTTTGATTTATCATTCGGAGACAGCTGGGGGCAAGGGAGTGGAGTCTTGAGGCAGAATCATGGGAAGGATTTGGGTTCAAATGTGGCCTGTGTTGATTATATACTGATATGTACGGTGGTGGGGGAGCAGCTTGACATTATACATATGTGGAGGAGGGGAACTGGCCCCCTCTCAAGTCTTGAAAAATGCATGAGATGATAACTATAACCAGAAAAACCACCTTGGACAGTATCTGATATAAAGCAGTCACCCCATGAAAGTTATATCTGAATCTGAACATTTGAACTTCAAAGAAAAAAATACATTTTTGGGTCAGTAGTTATTGAAGAATGGCTTGAGAATAAGAGATTTTATTTATATAGTAAGGAAGTGTGTGCATGTGTAATATGCATGTATAAATATAAATCACTAAGTACCTGTATTATTTATTTGCTCTGCAAAATACTGGAAGCGGGAAAAATTCATTTAAATATGAATGTGGGATTGCAGGGGGAATTAACTGGGAAATTAATTTGGGGCTGGTAATCTCCATTCATTAATTTACCCATTCAACAAATATACACAAAGTGCAAAGTATGGGCTATAGATGGTGCTGGATCTTGGAGAAATAATGGTGAGTAGAACACAGGTTCTGCCTCTTGGTGTTTCGAGTCTAGAGCAGACATAGGAAGGCCCTCATCTGTTGATTTCATGGTCCATTCGTGCAATGGGCATTTGAAGCACTGAGAGCCACAAGCAGGATCGTCCCCCATCTCCATCGATAAGATACTGCTTTTCAAGATTACTTAGGATCCAGGTGAGGGACATGCACTGAGAATGTCTGATGATTCCACAATCCAGTCCTGGTTTACAGCATAGGAATCAGAGAGGAAGGTCAGAACTGCTCTTGGTAACCTACTATTGCCTTTATTTCGCCTTGGTTTAAAAGAAATTCTGGTGGTGTTTTTTTTTTTCTTTTATTGAACTATGTCCAAAGTCTAGTTTTCCCTGCCTCTGTGCTCTGAAGTAGAGAGCACAGAAAAGTCAAAGAACTCAAATCTGGCATCCTCACTGACTGTAAGGAACTCTGGCCCTATTCTGACGGTTCGAAGGGGAAGTCTGATAGGTTGTCAATTTCCTCACCCT